AATGTTATTTTGTAGCTACACATTCCATCGATGACCACCGTGCCGCGACCACATGCCGTTGTGTGTTTGTCGCCTGCCAACTCTATTTTTTCGTGATGACATTCGAACTTATCGAATAATTCACGACGGGCACACATATGTGAAGTTGCCCCACTATCGATACACCATGCATGTTAATTTAGTATATCGACTGTTGCCACACCAGCGAATGAATAGTTCCCCTTTTTATTACTGCCGTTGCCATACTGATCCTTACTTTTATTTTCGCTGTGTTCTCCGCTGCTTCTGCATTTTGCGGCGAAATGCCCCTTCTCGCCACATTTTAAGCATCGCATCTCCTTTCGTTTGTCTTTGCTGCTTCCGTTATTTGGCATTCTTTCTGCAGTACTCTGGACATTATTACGTGCTCCAAACGCCTGTGTGTTCTCGTTTTGCACATTATTTTTTACGCCGTTCGCTTTCCTCTACTAATTTGTTTTTTATGACCGTGAGCGTCGGCAAAGCATCACGCGCTTCTAATGCAATGACGAAATTCTCATACGATGCTGGTAGGCTCGCTAACAGCATAATAACGAATAATTCGTCATCCAATGAAATGCCTATTTCGAACAGCTTTTCGGCTATATCGACATATTCCTGTACATGCTGTTGTTCATTGTCGCTCTCTTTCATTTGCTTATTTAGCAATTGTTTAAATAACGTTACCTTGCGAACTGGACCTGATGGCTGATGCAACTTTTTCAACTCATCCCAGATTCCGCGTGCACTTTCACATTTCTTTATGCTGCTTATCAGTGATGTGCCAATAGATAGGAATAACACTGCCATTGCTTTGTCATTTTGTGTTTTCCACAACATATAATGCACAGAAGTTTCATCTTCTGGCTTCATGGAGGTACCACCGGTAATCTCCCACAGCTCCTGATGCACTAACACACTACGCATCAACACACACCATGTTTTATAGTTTGAATCGTTTAATTTTTCGATATTGTACAGTGAACTCATTTTTACGTTTTTTATTTAACAAGTCTCTTGAATTATTTCGCGAAGTCCATTACGCGTTTATTCACACAGTCTCTATCTGGAATTATCTCGCGAAGTCCATTACGCGTTAATTCACACACTTTATTTCTTATTCCTTTTTCTTCTATACTTCTTTTGCGCTTGAAGTACCTGGGCCCATAACCTATTGGTAATTTCAAGTTGCATAGAAGGGGGAAATAAGAGTGATCTGCTTCTGTTGAAGGTTTATGAGAGACTACTTTTATTGAGGACAAATATGTAACTTAACTGCTACTGTGTGTTACCAGATCGGTACTATTATATGGTTGTATACTAATGAGCGTTGCCAATTACCAACACAAACATATTAGATCGGTATCCAAGGAACACCACGTGGCGGCCATCAACATTTTAATGGGGTCCGAAATTAATAGGACCTTTGAGTCGACTAGAAATGACTTAATTTCAAAAATGTATAACACTTTAATTACTATTTATAAGTATTTGAAATTAAGTCAAACCCATGTTCCCCACTTAATATTACCTTATTTAGTTTTTTAATTTACGAGTAAATATTTGAAACTATTTAATCATAAAGTAAGAAAAAATTCTACTGCTTAATTATTTTTAATTTGTTTAAAGCTACCTTGGAGTTCTTACTACCAGCAATCCTATCTGTTATTCATTTACAATATTTTCTAATTAAAATCAAATCATTAAGTAATTGAGTTCTGTGATTATAGCACGGACCAGACTCTGTAAACCAGCATGCGTATTTATGTAACTTTGATGTAATGAATACGTATTTTTGAACTATTGTTTTTTCAAATGGAATCTGTGAGACTTTGTCTCGAAATACCGTAACCGAAGTTTTTATTTAGTATTAAATACTCGGTAGTACATTGGACTTCATCGGACGGTTTCAACAGATTTGAACACACTTTGCAGTCGTGTTTCTACAAGAGATACCCTGCAAAATAACGTTCTCATTGAAAGCGTCTTGAATATTCAAATCTGTTGCTTCTATGGCCAATTCTAACTCTAATTCGTCACCAATGAAAATCAAATCATTATCTTCAGAAGATGTTAGCTCTGATGATGCTTGATTTGACCCACAGTCTTGTATAATGTTAATCAACATAGTATCTTCATCGAGGGCACAGTTCCCAGATACTGTTGTTGATGTCAAGAAGAATTTTTTCTTACTTTATGTTTAAATAGTTACAAATATTTACTTGTAAGTTAAAAAACTAAATAAGGTTATATTAAGTGGGGAACATGGATTTGACTTAATTTCATATACTTATAAATAGTAATTAAAGTGTTATACATTTTTGAAATTAAGTTGATGGCCTCCACGTGGTGTTCCCTGGATACCGATCTAATATGTTTGCTCATATACATTATTAGATCGATAACAAATTTGAGCGGCGAATTAAAAAAGAAGACAATATTTATTGAATTATAAAATGATGTGCATACATAGATACATATAAACATATATGTATTTTTATTTATTTAATTACACCAGTTTTACAAATTTTTCAAAATTTTGAAACCCCTAAATGTACATATTTTCATATAAAATATCGGCCAATTTGTCAACTGACATTTTTAGCAAATATTTTTAAATTAATATGCAAGTCAATCAAACAAAAATAGGAATTAGTCGATCAACAAAATTGATTGTGCATAAATACAGTTGAGGTAGGTCATGACAATGTCAAGGCTACTGTCTGCATATGAACACTACATTTGCACTAGGGATGCTCATGTAGAAAATACATCGATGTTTTTTTCGATTTGATGCATCGACATCTTGCATCGATGTATTACGATATATCAACGAAAAACATCGATGTTTTCGATATATCGCATTTGATCTAAATATTATGATCAATATAAAAAACGTACTTTTGCATTAAGAAATATTAAGAATATAGAGATTTATTGTTGTATTTCCCACTGTTTATTAGGAAAATGTTGCAAAAAGAGAAGTTTGTTGACACGCTTGGCTTGCAAACAGCTAAAATTAGAACCATTTGTGATATTCAAACTAAAATTAATTTATTTTGACTTTACCCTTTTTTTACACAGTTTGCACTTAACAGATTTATCGCTAACTTTGTCGTAATAATTTCATACGACACTTTTGTTGTTTGGTGCCATGATAAAATATTTCGGTATACAATTAATTAAATCAGAATTGGCTTAAAGTAAAAGCACTTCCAAAGAAGAAAAAGCGAATAATTGCGTCACATGTATATTTACAGCATTCAATAGACATGATACGTTTTGCTTTGTCTCCATTTGAACGGGCTTTGACTGTTCAATTAGTTTTCTTTAATTAAGTCAGAAATAAAACTCGCCTTTCGATGCATCGGCTCAAATACATCGATGTATGATTCGATATTAACCTATTCAATATATCGTAAAATGTCGATATATCGAAAGCAAACATCGATGTTTTATGGAACATCGATGTATATCGCGCATCCCTAATTTGCACACATACACATATATGTATGTGTGTGTGCTTTTATAGGCATTATTAGAAACCTATACACTGTTGACAAAGTTCACTTGCATACGCATGCAATGCGACAGAAGATGGCAACAGTGTATGAAATTCTTATGCCCATGTAGCAGGCGAAATTTGAAAACGAAAAGCGAAGCTACTGCTCGCAAAACAGCAAAAGAACAAATACATTTAAAGCGGCACACATCGACCGTCACTGTTGACTGCCTCTCTGCGAATGAAATGAAATTCGCTCACAGAGAGCACGAATGCGACAGCTCCGAGTCGGGATAGCCGAAGTTGCGACAGCTCCCATTCGGCAAATACCCGAACAGCTATGGGAGCTGTTGCTCACAATTTTTATGGGACGTTTTCGTTGTATGAAATGAAGCACCTATATGTTGTATGGTTAGTGCCTGTACCCAAAGGGTAAAAGGCTATATTAGTTTTGTGCGAAAGTATGTAACATACAGAAGGAGGCGTAGCAAACCCCACAAAGTGTATATGTTCTTGATCAGGGTGACAAGCCGAGTCGATATAGCCACGTCCGTCCGTCCGTCTGTATGAGCGCCAGGACCTCAGAAGGTAGAAGAGCTAGAATCACCAAACTTGGTATCCAGGTTCCCATAAGCCCTAGGTCAGGTTTATTTTTTTATTCTGACCGATGCCCATGCTCTGATTGTAGCTCTGCCCGCAGATGTTGTTGTCGTTGGTGCTTTGGTTCAACTTGGTGCTGCATGCGTATGTACATATGTACATGCATATAAACACGCATAGTCACGATGATGGACATAAATGTATGCTGTTAAAACTGTACATAAATATGTCTTTAATTAATACAATTTTTTTAAATTAATAAAAAAATAAACATTTAGTGATTAAGAAAGAGGAGGTTATCCGTCAATAATATAAAACAAGACCAAAAACAAAAATGTACAGACATTCTTTCACAATTTTGTTTTATCGTATTTTGTTGTTTTGTGTACATGTGTTTGCTAAAAACCGCAAAATAGCACCGACAGTCCAAAAAGTTTTAATTCACGCAAGGTTCTCAGAAAGTACAAGAGCTAGAATAGCAAAACTGAACTTCCAGGTTCCCCTAAGCCCTGGTCACGCCAAGAGGTATTTAAGAGTTAACCGCGATCACTTAAAGTGCTTTTTGGGTTTGTGACAAGTCCTTCGCTATTTTTACACATTACATTTACCAAAACCTCCACAACTTTTGTACATTTATGTCGTCTGTGGGAATTATTCACGGACAAAGTTAGTTGTTATTGCGTGAACTATTATTAAACTGTTGGCACAAAGTATGCTCAAATGTGTAGATGTGGTAGACCCGTTTGCCTCACTTTTGGATCGAATAACTTGAAACCTTTTTTTTTAAAGTAATTTGATAAAGCGTCTCTCTGCTTGCTCGGCCCAATAGTCAGTCACAGATTTGTGTACAATCCATTTAACCTTGTTTGCTTGCTGTATCTTTGTATGTACCATATCTAATATAGGGACGCAATTTATTATTAAACAAATATTATGTTTAACAATTTTTATAATAATTATAGATTAAAATTATGTACTGGGCTTTAACGTTATTTGCATATCCAGTTGAGCCTGTGCTATGTTTTCTAAAGCAGATTGTATTTCTTCAAGTAATAGCTCTCCTTTTTGAACTATGTGTTCAAGTTGAACGGCTGTTTCTTGATTTTCAATTTCCAATCTAGATAAGCTTTGGTTCTGCAGCTCAGTAGAGCTATCCTCGTTGGGCAATGATTCAATAAGCGTATCAACGTCCTTAGCACACCGTGCTATCAATTGTGCAAACAATTGAGCATAATCCTCTTGTGGTTGATTTTGTAGAGGCGTTTGCGATCCAGTCCTGTCAAAATTTACGAATTTGCTTGGGTACGATGACTGCTGAATTACACCAATCGCATTACAAAAATGTTCGGCTTGCTGATTGACGGTGTCTTGCAATTGGGTTAACCTATCTGCCATGACGCTTTTTATTAAAACTTTATTAAATTGGACAACTCTCAGTTAGCGTTCAGATTAGAGGTGGGCGATTTTAAGTGTATTTTGTCACGAGTAGTCATTTGTCAGTTCAGTATATGTACAGTACGCACTTCCAGTAAAATGTTCAAACTGTACGCACTTTAACATTAAATATGAAGCTTTCAGAAAAAACATTTTTTGGAAAGATATAAACGCACTTAAGAAAATGATTTGTTTTACCTGTAAGGAAATTTTAAGGGGAGCATTTGTTATTGTTGCTGCATTGGTTGAACTCTGTAATGCACAAGTAAACGCATGCCCGATGTAAATCTATTACTTGTAACTATTAAAAAAACAAAATTCATTAAATGAAATAATTTTTTTAAATAAGTGCAGTGCTTTTAAAAGTTGGAAAATCTAAACATGAGCATTCCATTTTAGCGTTGTAGTTTTATTCATACGTGCTGCATTATCCGCCATAGGTTGTTATCGATTATTGCAACAGCTGCCTTAGATGAAAATTTTATCACCAAGTAGAGCTTGCTTGTGTATGCAAAAATACATTCTCACTGATAAAGTGTGCGAAAAAGACTCTGGGACAAGAATATTTTTTGTTGTAAAAATTATATTGCATTATTTTTTGACTTTTTTTTTATACCAATATTTAAAACCATCTCTTTTGCTTATAGCAAGAATTCTCCAAAAGTGCCGTTTATTTTTACCGCTACAACTTAAAATAGCTTGCAGCTTCGCTTGGTAGAGCGAAATAGCTGGGATTAATTATTTTTAGTTTTCTTAAATAAAAAACTGGTTATGCATTTTTATTAAGCCGAGTGCATATTATTATTTATAACCTTATTATACAGGATTCTGTTGATTTTTTTTTACGTTTTGAGGCATTTTTTTTGTGAATTTTAACCCATTCCATGACAATAAATACTTTGAGATCCTTTAAAGTACAAAGCTTCCTTTTTGGCAGAAACCTGATTTTAGAGAACTCCGCAAAGGCTTCCCTTTGGTTTTAAATCTCGTTTTTTTGAAAAATTTGGAAATTCATGGAAAAGGTAAACGTTTTGGCTGACTCTCCTTGCTAGAAAACGTGGTGTACGACGAAAATAAAAATTAGCAGTTAAAGAGAGCATTAGCCCATCCCAATTGAACTTAATCTACCAATTGCTACAAGACGGGTAAAAATAATTTCAAGCTCATCAGAATTGGTTTCATATGCAAAAAAACACTCCACCAAAATTTGTTGACTTTCGCTCCTCCTTAGGCCGCTTAATGTGTTAATAATAGAAGTGGTTACTATCTGACCCATCCAGATTGAACTTCTTGTCGCGTAATACCATATTTTACCACTCATCCTGCCAATTTTTTCATGACTGCAAAGTTCAACCGTGACGACTTATGCCTGCGTAATATTGTTTTGCCTATGAAACCAATTTTGATGAGCTTGAAATTATTTTTACACGTCGTATGACATTTGTTAGATTAAGTTAATAATGCATTTTGGAGGAGCTGCTGATGTGTGTGAGTGTTTAAACAAATTTTGTGTAATATGTTTGAATTGGTGTAGGTGAATTAACAATGTATATAATTTTTGTGTTGTATGTTTGAATGGTTTATACATATGTACTGTAACGTTGTTACTCTGCCGCGGGTATGCTCGCCGGCCAGAGTATGCTGAAATAAATTAGGCACCCCAAAGTGCCGAGGTGTCCAACCAATAAAAGAAGGCGGTGTGCCAAAACTTCTCCACGTGTTTTATTCCAAAAGAATCAAAAATGCAGCCAGCGCTTCAGTGCGTGTTGGGCATGAGCCAGAAGAGAACTAACTTAAAACGACTTTACAATTACTTGCCTTCATGGCTTACTCTTCTTATAGTTACTTGTACTTATAACTACTCGTAATGACGCGCGGCTGGTTGCTGCGCAACGCGTCGTTACACCTCCCCCTTTCCCCAAGGGGTCGAACGGCCCGATCGGTGGTTTTTTTTCGAATTTTCTTTCACCGCGCCATAATCGAACGGCAGATGCGTAGCAGCTGGGTGGCAGCGCTGCCACCCCTCGCGTTTGGCCACCTGTCAACGCCACCTGTACCTTCACCGTCAGCTGTTCGCTCTGTCATTCGGTCGCATTGTTGTTTTCTGCATTTCCGCCGCGTGGTGCTGACGTGTCGTCATCCTCTGGATTCTGTACTGGGTGCTGTAGTGGCTGCTGTGGGACTGGCTGCTGTTGCCGTAGCTGTTTAGGGATCGCCAATGGAATTATCATACCGCCCATCTGCTGCGTCTCTGGTATATTCGGCGCTGAGTGTGTATCTCAGGCGGTGCGGTAATCTACATCGCTTCACATGGCCTGAAACGTAACAACAAACTGCGTTTAATTATGTTTGTAGGCTTACATGGGCATCTTCTTCGGCTAGAACGGCAGCTTTGCTGTTCCCGCTTTGGTGGACGCCGGTGGTGTTGCCGTTGCTGTTGTCGGTGTGGCTGCTACGAAGCCCTGGTTGCTGTTGCTGCTGTCGTGGCTGTCGTGACCGTGGCTGCTGTCGTCGTGTTCGTTGACATGGCCGATCTAGTTGCCCGGACTGCCGCTGCGTCTGCGGAGATTGGTGTTGTGGCTGCTGTGAAGCTGTCGGTGGCGTGGCCCTGGTGACCATACTAACGCTGCCTCTGTCGTCGCTGCCTTCGTCGGCTTCGCTGTCTTCTGCGTTCACCGCTTTTAGATCTCGCACATGTGCCGTTCTACCTCTGCCGCCCGCTACTGGTCGCACACGCACTATAACTGGGGATATGAATGCTCGCACTGTGAATGGTCCATCGAAGCGAGGCGCCAGCTTGGCCGCAAACTGCTCGGCTGCGTTGGACAAGTGATGTTGTCGCACGAGCACCTCGTCGCCCAGTTTGGGTCGCCACTCGCGTCTCCGCAGATTGTACTGGCGTGCCTGATCCTCGCTGGCCACCCCTTGGTTTCTTCTTGCTATGCGGGCAACAAACTGTAGCAGCGTCGCGTGTGTTTCTGGGCTACCTGATGCTGCCTCAGGGGCATCAGGATCCCTGCCGTACAGTGTGTGTGGATGCCGTGGTTCTCTCCCAAATAGGATGAAAGCTGGTGAGTAGCCCGTTGCGTCTGAAATTGCTGTATTAATGGCCAATTGTGCTTCCGGCAGTTGTTCGTCCCACGTGTTGTGCTGCCCGTTCGCCAGCTGAGCAATCAATGTTTTGACCGTTCTATTGGTCCGCTCAGTGGGATTCTCCTGAGGTGTGTATGGTGCCGTCAGTTGTTGCCGTATGCCTGCCTCGGCGAGGAACTGCTTCAGCGCGCGGCTCGTAAACTGGGCTCCATTGTCTGTAATGAGTTTTCTTGGTGTGCCAAACCGTGCCAGAATCCGCTCTCGCAAGGCCAGCTTCACTGCCGCTGCCGTCGCCTTGCGGATGGGGACCAGTTCTGCCCATTTACTGAACTTATCGACCAGGACCAGTAGATACGCGTTGCCTCGTTTGGACCGCGGCAGCGGCCCCACAAAATCGGCGCAGACGACGTCCCACGCTGCCTCCGCTGGTTTGAAGTGCATCTTGCCTGCCGTCAGCTGTTGCTGGGCCTTATAGCGTTGGCACAACAGGCACTGGTGCACATACTTCGCTACGTCGCGATACAGACCAGGCCAGTGGTATCGGTCTGCAACGCGTGCACAGGTTCGGCGTACTCCCATATGGCCCGCTGTTGCATCGTCGTGGCATTCTCTCAACACCTCCAGTCGTAGAGGCGCGGCCACGCATAGCCTCCATGGTGACACCTCATCTTCTCCTAGAACGTGAGGGATGCGGCGGTACAGCCTGTCGTTCTGTATGGCGTAATCTGGGTACTTGCTGGGACTCTCCAACACCGCTGCCGTCAGCCGCTGTAACCATTTACAAGTTGGTGCTGCCTCTGACTCCACGTGTGCACGGCCGATCACCTCGCGTGGTTGTCGTGACAGTGCGTCGGCCACCACATTCAAGGCTCCTTTTCGGTACTGGACATCGAAGGTGTACTGCTGCAGCTCCAAAGCCCAGCGTGCGATGCGGCCGGTGGGGCTCTCAATTGAGTTAAGCCATCGCAACGCCAAATGGTCGGTCACGACGGTAAAGTGATAGCCCTCCAGATAGTGTCGCAGCTTTCGGGTTCCCCAAACAATGGCCAGGCACTCCTTCTCCGTGGCGCTGTAGTTGACCTCTGCTTTCTGCAGTTTCCTACTGGCGTAGGAAATCACGTGCTCCTGGCCGTCTACGTTCTGTGTCAAAACCGCGCCCAGCCCATACTCGCTGGCGTCAGTCTGTAGGCAGAAGCGTTGTGTGAAATCGGGGCACGCTAACACCGGCGCTTCCATGAGCTGTCTTTGGATACAATCAAATGCCTCCTGCTGCGGTGTTCCCCAACTCCACTTGTGGCCTTTCTTTAACAGCTCGGTGAGTGGGCCTACCGTTGTGGCGAAATTGGGTACAAAGCGGCGGTACCACGAGGCCATCCCGATGTACTGCCGCAGCTGTTTTAGGTTGGCCGGGGGCTTCAGTTCACGTATGGCTGCCACCTTTTCTGGATCCGTCTGTATCCCGTCTTCTGTCACCAGGTGCCCCAGGTAGCGTATGGACCTGCGAAAAAACTCACACTTATCTTGATTTACCCGTAGGTTTGCCGCTCTCAGTCTTCGAAACACCTCCCTCAGGTTACATAGGTGTTCTTCGAATGTCTTCCCAACCACAACTATGTCGTCCAGATAGGCAAACGCGTGTGGAGCCATATCCGGGCCGATGACGCTATCTAGCGCCCGCTGGAAGGTGGCTGGGGCGGAGTGCAGGCCAAAGGGCATCACTCGCCATTGGAAAAGGCCCCGTCCGGGCACTGTGAAGGCGGTGTATTTACGGCTGTCGGGCTCCATGGGGATCTGCCAATAACCGTTTCGCAAGTCGATGCTGCTGATGTACTTCGCCTGTCGTAGCTGTTCGAGAATATGTTGGATCCTCGGAATGGGGTATGCGTCTGGCTCCGAGCGCTCGTTCAGCTGGCGGTAGTC